GGTTATTCAAAAACCAATTCTTGAACCTTGTGAGAAAGATGATGAGTCAATCTCTAAGGATAAGGAAAGGGTTGAGTTTGAACATTGCAAACAAAAGACTGATTCCCTGTCAGGACTTTCATTTCCTCATGCCATAACCAAACAAAAAGAAATCAAGGATGAAAAGGGCACCAAAATATTGTCGCAGATCATTTATCAAAATTGATAATAGATTCGATTTGACATCATAATAATTGATGATTACTTTCCTGATGAATCTTTACTTTCTCTTAGTTCAATATCTTGGTTTGCTAAAAATATCATTTTGATCAAATATTTCAAAGATGCATTCCCAATTAGACAAAATAAAGTTTTTGAGAGATGTGTAAAATTTTTACTATGATTGTCCTTACTTATTCAAATATTATACTGATCAAATATTTCAAAGATGCATTCCCAACAATGAGGTAAGTAGTGTCATTAAATTTTGTCACTCTAAGGCATGTGGGTATCATTTCTCGTCAAAAAAGATGATAGTGAAAATCTTAGAAATTGGATTTTACTGGCCCACCATATTTAAGGACTCACATGCATTCTGCAAAACCTGTGAAAATTTTCAAAAGGTGGGATTTATTTCAAAACATAAAGAGTCTTTAGATAATCTTCTATTAACTCTTAAGTCTCATCATAGTGGAGATATGCATCTTACAATTCATGATTTATGGTCCTATTTTCATAAAGAACATGCTCGGTATAGTCTTGGAAATCTGACTAAAAAAGACCATGTGTTACCAGTTTTTAAGAAAATTGGATGGGAAGCCTATCCCCCACCCATAGAGAGCATTTAAGTCGTTCTTGGACGTAAAACCAAAGGAAGATGTGAGCCACAATCACAACTACTTGTACATACACATGCTTTTTCAAAAAAAAAAATGAATAAAAAATAAAGAGAAAGAGAGTGAGACTCTAGCTAGCCTACATATAGGTGGTATGATTGCATTTTTAATTTCTTATCTATAAAATCTTCACTTTCTTCCCTTCATTTCTACTTAACCCATACATTCTATAGATATAGAAGTGTATAGAAATGGTAGGTTCCTCAAGTAATCATATAAAAAATATTTATGTTTTCGGTGGATCCAGTCCTGATAAGGAAATAGAGCTTTTAGAATCAATAAATCATCTTAGTTAGGTACTAGCTAAGAGAAAGATTCATTTAGAGTATGAAGGAGGTGGTATTGGGTTAATGGAAGGTGTGTCAATAACTGTATTTTTAGGAGGTAGTTAGATTTTAGGGGTCATCCCCAAAACTTTAGCAAAAAAGGATATCATTGGAAAAATAATTGAAGAGGAACTACAAATCTCTACAATGTCTGATTGAATAAATGCAATGTTTAAACACGTCGATGCCTTCATTGCCTTACCAAGTGATCTAGTCACATTAGAAGAGATCTTTCATATTTCCTTTTGGGCTTAACTTTACATTCACCATAAACCTATAGGTGTGCTCGATGTTAATGGTTTTTATAATACAAATTACACTAATGGTATAAGAATAAGTATAATATAAACTTAATATGGACTTCAATGCTTATATCCTAAACAACTTACTATTAACATGTCTT